GGTACAAAACTAATCTCGGTTATCAATCGAACGAAGATGATTTTGATCGAATTGGCACAAATAGATGATGACCCTTATTTTCCATTCAATATAAATGAAGCTACATTCCAGTTAGATAGCACAGACATGATAGGCCCCTTGCTTCAAATTTATTGCTGATTTCGATAGTCCATGAAAAATAAGTCAACACGTGTTTTTTCTTTTTGTTCTTAGTCAAAAATTAATGGAAATACAACGCTTTGAAATGTGCTTATTATAGATATCCTATGACGTTACTCCATGCTGAGTATATCTATATATACAAAACTTAATATTTGTATAAACTACCGGATTAATCATATTTGGGCGAAATAAAAAAAAAAGTAACGATTTTTTTTTGATTTCCTACAGTTTGCAATAAACAATAATCAATTTAATTTTCCATGCAAGTACCCCATTGTGGGTTTTGGTCTGATAGAAATCCTCAGTGGATGTGTGAACCGCATTCTCAGTATCCACAAAAACCTTGACAAAAAATTAACATATGGGCTGGAATAGTGAATAATCAATTGATAGGACCATTCAAGGCACCATTCTTGGTTGATGGAAATTTGACTGACTTGAAATCTATGAAGCCATGCTTCGAAACAATACAAAATTGTTTTAGCCTCAGCCATTAGATCCCTGGTAACAATTTTGGATTTCATTGGTGGTGCATCAAGATAGGGCTCCTCCTCACTACGGTGTACAAGTTTTGTGCTTAACTTAAATGCAATACTTCCTCAAATCAAATTTTATTTAGGTATTTAATTGTCACAAAAGCAAATTACACAGGTCAAATAATAATATTAAAATTACTTATAGTTCTTGAAATGTTATACCTACTAACAAGAAAGTAATACACTACATAGAAAACTGTGTTTGAAGAATCTCAACATTTAACATACATATTTAAAACAGTAACTTCATTGCACATTAAAGTCAGAGTGGAGAAATTCCTCTAAAGAATAGAAACTATTTCTAATGAGGATCCACTTATTTGTTTTTTTTTCAAAAGTCAAAAATGGCAAGTTTCTAAGATAAAGACATCAGGATTTTTCCTAAACAGAGAAGTTCTCCAAAATGTAGACAGAGGGAACGGTCAGTACGCCCAGACTCACAAAGGCCATCCAGCATCAGCTGCATGACCCCAGGCAATGACTGCATAGGCAAAGTGCGTATGAAAAGTTGCAAATTAGAATGTTATCAATACCTGCTATGACACCCTATCAGCAAGGTTTCTGAAAAGAAAAAGATCACTAGCTAACGTTGAGACAAACATGCCGATATGTACACTCCGTTTCAGCCTAGGATCAACAGACACCCCAAGAAATGTGACACCATCCATGTTGGAATTGATTTGGTAAAGTTTTCACATTGAAAATACCTTCCTTGAGTTCCTTGTTGCCTTTTCAATATTTAGAACTCAATTTAGGAGTAGTTTATTCGAGAGTTTATTAGAGTTAAACCTGATCGGGTGAATAGGGCGTAGAGGAGCATTAGAATGGCCATCAAGATCTCTCAATTTTTTTTTGGGGATCGTCTGAAAAATTGCGTATACAAACCAAACCGTCAGAATTTGGGTGACTTACGACACAAATTATCGATCCAGCCCGAGATTCAGCCGAGCTTATACAGCAGAAAATTTTACGAATGTCACCACAATGTCGATTGGCATTTTGTCAATAAGTTAACGGCTAACAGTTTTATTTCTCGAAAAATAAATATTCAATCAATTGCAGCGATAATAAAATGGGTCGTTTTGTTTGAAACTGCAATGTTTAAGTATGTACGTACTCGCATTAAAATTTTTATTGTTTGGCAACATGCCTTTGCGATTTTAAAAATATCGAGAAAAATACTGTATGACTAAATTTTCCAAACTAGCCCCGGTTCTTGAAATAACATTGTCTAAACGCTGGTTACCCCTCGGGTTACCCTAAACATCTAGATAGTAGGGTAGTAGTAACCCAGCGATATCACTGAGGCTAATGAATCACCTGTTATTATGAGTTTTTACCAAAAAGGAGAGTATCCAAAGTATTTCAGCCAAAATCAAGAAGTTGTTCATTTGTAATAAGAAGTTTAGTTTACTTACTCTCAAGTTAACGCAATTGAACAAACTGGCAACACCGTCGATAATATTTCCAATGAGCGTTCCACATGTTCTCTGGTTACATTTTCCACCTTTCACCAAATTCTGTTTACCCCCTAAAGTTTTGGTGTGAACAGGAAACTTACTTATCTACCAATCTAATTGTAATAAAATTTGCAAATCTAAAGACAGGTAATGTCCTTGAATGTATAATACATTGAAATTCAGATACAACTCTATTTTCGATCTTGTGTTTCTCTATTTCAACCTCTGAGGCTTCGGGTTGCTTTTGGGAATATCTGATGTGTATTTATTTTAGTCAGTTTGAATAAGAATAAGTTGCTTTGTCAATGGATGTTTTCTGAATTTGTGACTATAGAGCTTTTTTCAACTGAATTGAATTGTGGATTGCAGTTAGACAGTAAAGCCATGAAAGGCATATTGTCGCTGTCATTATAAGGGGCTTATCTCAATATTTGGCGAAATTGAGTTATTCCCATAAAAATACTTAAAAGAACCATATCTATGTTGTGACGAACTGGCATATCTCCATAATACACGGTGGGACCAAAATTGATTTTTAGGAATGAAATCCACAATATCCCTGTTCCTTACAATGCCTCCACAGTTCATCTATATACCAGCGTTGTTTTACTAGTATTTCAGTCATAAATTATAACAGATACTCTAGCTATTTTGTAGGTGCTTCGATCGCAGTTTTTCGTAAAATAATAAAGAATGCTTTACTCGAGGCTTTACTAATTGAACAGGAAGCTGAAAACCAGTAAATTGTTTATCATATATTTTATTTAATATTTTTTCTCTCCTTATATATGGTTATAGCTATAGGCAGTTCTGGGAATATTTGTATTATTATTGTAATTTATATTTTTATAAAGGACAATATACCTATGCTTGTGATGTTATTAAGATATTGATTGAAAATATTGTATAAAATTAGGGTTAAGTTTGAATAGCTGAGTATGTTTAGCTAGACTTCGCCTTTTAAGATTCTTCTTAATAAAGACCTTTATTTTATTATTATTATTATTATTATTATTATTATTATAAATAATTCTTCAAAATTAAAATAAACAGTCCCAAAAATAGCGTAAAGAAACTTAAAAAAGGGACGTGGCACCCAAAAATTTCGCGCCTCAGCGCTTTACCTCTGTCAGCAGTCGCAGTGAAGAAACACTTCCTGCAAATTTGCCCCCCCCCCCCAAGTAAAAATCCGAGAAAAAATCCTGGCTACGCCAGTGGGCCATTATTCAATTTTAGCGGCATATCTGCTTTATCAAACAGCCAAACATTTGTTTTTGTTATTAAAAACAGGCCTATCTTCTTAATAATTTATTTACAGAAAAAGTCCAATCTTTTCTTTCAAAAAAGATATGTCTCAATGTCCTAAGTATACTTTTGTGTTATACTATATGAAAAAACAAGTTCTGATACTAAATTATATCCAGTGCTACAGACAAAATGAATAGTAGAGTTTTCTTCAAAACGCTCTCCTGAAAAGTTGTTAAATCAGAGATTGGCCACTTCGTAATGACAGCGACAATATAATATGATACAAATAATAGGCTGGATATTGTGGCTTGGCACCAATAATAATTATAAAAGCACCTTAATTATTGTAATTCTTATATTATGATAAAAATACGGAAGTAAAAAATACCTATTTTACTTAATTGATTGCATTCTCCATGGAAAAATAAAAGAAAGGATTCACTGACACATTTCTTCCGGAGACACGGTTAAAACGCGATTTATTAGGGTGTATTGAAAAAACGGCAGTAACTTTCTGAAGGTAGGTAGGATAGGTTTTTGTCTCTTGTATGTAGTTACATATTTTATTCACTTCAGACAAACTGTTTTCCTCTTCAACAAATTTTATGTTGTATATTCACCCATGTGTGTAACGAGGTGTATATACCCTAACTACCTAATGAGTACAGTTGATGAAAAATAAGTTTCTTTGTGAGTTTTCTTGGTATGGACAGAATACTTATGGTAATTTTGTTGTTATTTCTGATCGACCTGTGACAAACCCATATTCTGGCCTCAGAATTATTTCTCCTGAAAATGTTGTCAAGGAAGAATGAGAAAAACTTGTTTTATTCACAACTCTTTTTTCTGTTTTAAGAACAGCAATAACAAAAATTGCATTTTAGATTTCGAATATTAGATAAGTAATAACAAGCAAAATTGTTGTTTTGGTATTGATAATTTGAATATTAGTTAGTGATTCTATTCTCCAGTTAAGTTAATTGGAGAAATTTGTACCATTAACACAAGTAAGTATCTAATAAGTGTTTGGAGACTATGAATTTTTAGATTTTCGTCAATCCTAGGAAGAAGGGGGCAAGAAACTAGGTATTTATATCCGACTAACTTCTCAATAATGTAAGATGTTAAATTTGGTTTATTTAGAGGGATTAAAATATAGGCCTGGATCACATAATTCCTTATATTAATACCTCGATTAATACTCAATTTTTGTACTTTGTTCATTCGTAAAAAGTTCAAGTTATTTAATTTTGAGATTCCAAAAAATTGGTAATCATGAACAGAAATTGAGAATTGGGTGACATAAGCTTAGGAAGAAGAATTAGGAATTAGGGAATTGGGTAATCCCAGTCTAAGAATACCTACACATTAAAAGAGCGATCAAGGAGATATCATGAGGAAATTGGGAATCAAATAGTGTAGGTACTGCATAAAATGCATATGATGCTTAAGCCCAATTATTCAAGTTAGAAAGTTTTTAACAATTTAGAAAGTTTTTAACAGTTTGTAAAATAATCAATAAACAAAAACATATTTGTATAATGTTGTGCACAGCAAAAAGAGGATATTTCAAATAAAAATATGTTCAACTTACGTTCCCAACACATCTTTCATGATGTACTTTTCCTCAATAGCAAGTTTATCTTCTTTATTTTCCTTCTTCTTCCTATCTTTACCAAATAAAGGCATTTTTAACATGTTGCTGGCAGGTAGTTAAACACGATTGTAGAGTTTAGTTCAAGCTTTAATTGTTCTCATACTATTCAAGCGGCTATTTTAATAAATTTGCTGAAACAACTGCGGATAATATACTCACTAAACAAATTTACAGTGAAAACAGGAGAGAGCCGATAAAACACAATTATTTTGTTAGCAAACCAAACACTACACCCGGAACGCGCTACGCTAGTGCTGGTGTTTTTGACTCTGTAATCTGTAGTTGTACGTTGTACACTTGCAAATATTTACGAATTTTATTTAAAACATGAAGTACGGCAATGATGCCGTTATTCGGCAATGCAAAAAAGTTAACTAGAGGATTTAAATTAGAAAAAACAAACAAATTCAATACAGCGGTACAGGATCTAATTCTATGTAGCCAAAAATTTATAAAGTATATCATTATATTTAATTCCCAGAATTTTTGCTACAGCAAAAATTAATTTGAATGTTGAGATTGACACCAATCATTCCGGATAACAGGAATTTTAGAAACCTCGGCAACATGGCAAAAGAAAAATATGCCCGAGCCCTTGAACTGGCCCCAGATGGCGAGTTATTGGTCTGGGTCGCCCTCTATGAAATTCGAAACAAACTAAAGAAACTTTGTGTATAGGCAGTATGGAGTATGGGAAATTGACCATCTATGGTGACGTGCTTATATTACATGGTAATTGATGACCATTTCAATAGATGACACCATTAGTAGCAGAAATAATTTTATACATTATATGGTTTGTTAAAGATATTCAAAATTTAGGGGTAGAAAGGAACAATTAATGATCCTTGCAGATACTTTTTTAATTGAATTGAAATTTGAAACGATCAATTAATTATACTCAAAAAGTATCCATTTTTTAGAAAAATATATAGGAATCTCCTAATAAACCGTTAAAATTCAATAAAATCCTGCCAAAAACTGAGCAAACGCGAAAATCCATGAGGTATTATTGAGATATTTTATTGTTTTGACGTTCTTTTAAGTTTTTTAGTAATTTTTAAGTTAAAAATGGTTAAGGGCGGGTATTATAAAAATACGTTGAGAGTTAACTTAAAGTTAACTTCTGGGATTACATGTAATTCAAAAAGTTAACTTCAAGTTAACTGTCAAAGCAGTTTTATAATACCCGCCCTAAATGGGCCGGTTTCTCATAGCGAGTCACCTCCGGGTTGGTTTTAACTCCAGGGTAAGCGTGTCTAGTTGCTATGTTTACCCTGGAGTTATGCTTAACCCGGGGGTGACCTGCTATTCAGAAACCGGCTAATAGTTGTTAATGTTACCCCAGAAATAATGCAGACTTTATTATAAATCTATCCCAAACATATAAATAGAGGTAGGTACCTGCAGAAATCTATTAAAAAACTGGTTCATAGTTATCACACACCAGAGGCGGGATTTTGTAATGGATAGGAATCGCTATCTCTATCCCTATGGCACTTCTATCCCTATGGCACTTGCTGTCTTCTTCTTTCTTTCCGAAATCAATAGAGAGGGGACGTCAATAGAGATTGCGAAAATGTCTCTATTCGTTATAGAATCCCAGCCCAGGTTGTAAAAGTACAACAATATCCACTTCTGAGCGTCCTGAGCAAGTAGTTCGATTGTTTTAAACTCTTGAAAGGAATACAGCTAATGAGACACCGGCCTGAAGATATTTCCTTAAAAAGTTTTCTGATGAGTATGCTTAGTGAGTATGATAGTGCGGATTGCGGATGAAATTCTGAATAACATCGATCGATACTTTGTCTGTCAGTGCACGCCGACAAAAACAAGAACTTCATTGGGAACAGAAATGACGGCTCAGCTCAATCTTCATAAACCCAGTTACTCGCAATGGAAATAGTCAGGGTGGTTCAAAATTTGAAGAATAAAAAGTCAGTCTGGAGGTGAATAAGATCCTGTATCTGTGTTGAAGGCAGTGGCTGAAGAACGGTCGGGCCCTGTTAACCACATCGTAAATCTCTCATTTATAACAACTCAACTCCAAAATCTTTATTTAAAAAATTACGTTTTAATTGTACATTTAAAACTATTGGGCTAAGCCCGTTAACTAGAAATATGCAACAAATAACTTAACCTAGGACAGAGACCATTCAAGCACCCTGACCAAACCTATGACCTGATGAGATCTAGAAAATGATTTTGGTGCAAGGTTCTTTGAGAGAGGTAGGTTGCCTGATATCTTTATGACGTCATCTGAGGTGCCTCAACATAATGCAAATCTCCATCAGGCACCCAGATGCGTCATCAAGTTACCTATTACCAGGCAACCTATTAACTTTAGGAACCTTGGTTTTGGTGCAGGTGAGGAGGTTTGCGTGGGATGTCAAAGAATGAGGGCTGGGAGGATTGGGTGCAAGAATTTACCGGGATTGGGATATGTATTTTTCAGCTTAACTGGGCAGTTTGTGCCCAGATGATTGTTGGCCGAATTGGGGGTATCCGAAGGTTGATTAGACAAGTGCGTTTCCTCATAGTTAGCGAGAGAGGAGTTAGCTACACACTAATTCGCTAGCTAGTTGAAATTTCCCGAAGAAATTGAGGATAGAAACTAGATCTTATTGTGGAATTTGCCAGAGTTTCCTGCTTTAGACTAAAGCTGTTGGCGCCAGCACCCATCTCACTTTTCTAATTTTGTCTCGTCGATTGGATTTTAGCTGTGCATTGGTAGGCATGGGTTTTTAATTTGGGTGTGTGGTTAGCAGGTTTTGGACTGGTGGAGGAGTTCAAGGGACTTCAAAAGAGATTGGTCCATTCTTGTATGGTGGACTATAAGCTATGGGATTGTCTGGATCATATCTTGTTGCAGTTAGGTTCCACGTTAGAGGGGATCCATTGATCTCGTTCCTGTAAAATTTGTCGCTGACTTCGTCCAGGCAGTCAGAGTGTATAATAAGGAATGTAGACTTGCATGCATGTCCCTTATTCTGGCGTACCTTTACTCTCACAGGATATCCCCTCAGAATGCGGTTTTGGAATCGCTGGATGCGGTTCCTCTGGGTTATTTGTAGATCGATTATTATCTGGCGGAAGGGAGTAGTTGGGGCCGATGAGAGGGTAGAGTTTTTGCTGCGCACTAGCGCTCTGAAGGTGCGAGCCAAAGCATGGGATACGTGGTGGTGGAATTTCATTCTTGATACCTAGGTATTTGGCTTTCGGGGACGCAGTAACTGGGATGTTGTTTAAGATGAGTGGGGTAAGCATGGTGCTATGTGTATGTTTCTTGTGGAAACATACCCGTTTCGTTTTCCTGTATATTGACAGCAAGCTTCGATTTATGATAATAGGGTTGAAGGATTGAAAGTTGGTGGGGGCTAGCTGAAATTTTGCTGCTTGAGTGTGAAAGGATTATGCGTAAACAGCGGTGTCATCTGCGTACAGTGCCAGATCATATTTCTTTTATTTGTTCTTAAATTTATAAATTTAAATTGTAGGTGTCATTTCCCCTATAGAACATTGAAATTGCTAAGTACTGCAGCAGATTTTCGTCTCAATTCTTAAAAATAAAACCAATCGAAAAATATATGCATTCAATTTATTATTGGCCTATATTCGTTGCAGGCAGATATGTATGGCTATTTATAGTATAAATTATAGGCATAAGTCCAAAAAGGTCATGTTTTAACAGCCCCGGATCTACATTTCCCTATAAAGCCGGGCAATCCATCAATGCAGATTAAGATTCCATCCCTACTGGATTCAATCTATTATTCCATCCCGACCCAATACGTTTAGAATGTGACGTATTGCCTAAAGCTAAAAGTGTGTTAGGGGGCGATTTAGTTTTCTACACAAAAACCGAAAATATTGACCATGTAGCCGGGGTCGGGTCGCCAGTGTTGAAGGAAATAGAGCAAGTTTTACTTTGACGCAAATGAGGGTGTGATTGGAGTATTCGCACCAACTATTTTCATATTTTAACGTATGTACCTACCTATACACCCTTATTACAGTAGGTTACTTGAGAATGTAGAGATAGCATCGAATATCGAATCACCCTGTATACTTTAGTCCTTCAACCAAAATTTTTGTATCATCAAAATTGACAAAACGAAGTATAAAAATACAAAATTAAAAAATGTATGATTTGCCGCAGAGTTGGGTACAAACCTTAAGGTTACTATGGGTACATGGTACATTATGGTAATATGTAACTGGACCTTGTATCTATATGAAATTTGAACAAAAAAATGGATAGATGCAAGCCAAATGACGCATTTTTTTCCCTATAATTCGCACTTCTATTCTGGGTTGGTTGGTCCGGTTGTTGTTAGTTTATTAGGGGTATTTTTTCCTCCTCCTGGGAATTACGGAAGTGATTTTGCATGAGAGCTATATAGTGCATTCTCAACCAAGATGGATGCAGATCGCTCACTATAGACAAAGAATATGGATGAATAAAGGGGCAGTCTATCTGTCTGGGGGTGGATGATGGGGGCTGAGTCATCAAAATTATCCATTGAAGTCTGAAGGTTCAAAGCTGAAATACCAGTACAGAAACAGATAATATAAATATTTGCACGAATACAAATTTTTCTCTTCACTTAGTCGTTGAATGTGCACACAGCAATCAACCCCAAAGATGATATGACTTTTCTGCTGAAAATTTCTGCAGTAGGTAGGTACTTACCTACTTACCACACTTGATTCATTAGAAGCTACACAATACTAATAATAATACATAGTAAATAAATTATTTAAAATACTATTGTCTATTGTCTACCTCTTATTGTTCTATATTACCATGCAGATGCAGGGTAAATAATTAAGCGTGTTTTAGCGCGGTTTTAATTGAATAATTTAACTTTCTAGAACCGGCTATGAAACATTTTAGTATGTTGTAGCTACCTAATTTGTAGTTAATAAAAGGTAAAAAGCTAATAGTTGTTCGCCGAAACAGAAAGGGTCGTATCGTGCCTATAGGGACAATTTTTATCTTATTGCGGACGCCACTGTGCACATCGCAAACCGCTTAAAAAATTATTAATGTAATAGGATTCAAAATTGTAGATTTTTTTAAAATGATTTTATGGCAGTTCTAGTGTAATAGAGAAAAATCCACAGGGCAGGCTAAAATAAGGGCGCCAAAGGCTCAAAGCACAATACTTTCGTAGGTTTATAAACGAAGGCAGTACGCAGTGTTAATTATTATTTCCTATGAGCACCCAGCTCAGTAAAGCATTCAAATTTAGTAAACGACAAATATTATGTAACGAAAACGTTATTTTTGGGAAAGCGTCAATGCGAAAAGTCGAGGCTGTTGGGACGACGCCGACGTCGTCTTTATGTCGATATAAACGGGTGGCGCCGCCTAACAGGAACGGATAACGAATCAGGCTGGCCGTATTTACAAATAGAGGTGTCGTTCAAAGTGTCGTCATCAGCTGTTCGATAAGGTGCGCGCGTCGTTTCCCGAACAACCCAACAACTGCGGGTGGCTTCTGAGCGTCGGCGCGCCCTCTGTTAATCTGTGGCACAGGAGCGCGCCGCCTGTTCATCGTCGTGGATCGCCCGTGCTCGGGTGTCGTGGTTGGCGGTCGGGTCTTCCATATACAGTGACATTAACATGAAAGTGGGCTGGTAGTACACTGGTTGAGTTGAGTGTTCATATTCACTAAGTTTATGTGTATGACATAACCAAGCCACGGGATAACCGTACGACTAGCCTTCCGGACAGTGACGTGCACTAATGGGGGAATTTAGTTTAAGTGGCAATACGAACATCGGGTTAAGTGCAGTGGAGATATCTGTGAACTCGTCAAAAACCAATCAAAATACAATTTTTTATTCGAATACTCCGACTACAACTAACAGCAACGGAACAGAAATACGCATCCAGACGAAGAGTTATAGTGCGATAATGCAAGATGACCCCTCAGACAAAAGTGTGGCAGCTGTCAGTAGCTCTACCGCAGATGATTTGTCACTCGTGGGCGATGCGATTACTACGACCAATACGACGTTGGCCGACAAAAGCGGTTCGCTATCGCTTCCCGCCAAAGATACAGAACTACCATCTAATACCACCATAAACCATCTTTCGGAGAAGTTAGACCAAGTAACATCTGTCAGTAAATCGGTACCGTCACTTCCGGCATTCTTTCATCCTGCTGAACCAGCAACACCGGCAGGTGCACTTTGGTCGACAGCAATTGAAGATGGATTCGTGCCTAACTTAGCTGGAGTAAATGGCATGGGGTTCCAAAACTTTCCTTCTCCGACTCAACAGCAACAGCTGTTCGGAGGAAATATCGGTCAAAATCAGGCCAATCAGACGCGAAGGGCTATAACCGCTAGTCACAACTTCCCTCCGCAAATGGGACGACAACAATCACTTTCAAATCATCCCTTATATGCAAAAGGTTTCGGTTCGTGGACCGGTGCACCCTCTGGACCTCCGGGTCAAGGCTGGAACCACAACGCTAGTGCAGCTGCATCTGGGGGTTCAGCCTGGAACAGAGGTCGTAGCGTTCCTAATTTAACTCCTTTACAACAAATGGGAGTAGGAATGCCTCCCGGTAGGAAACCGAGTCCTACTTTTAATCAACCTCAGCAAGTCATCTCTCCTGTTAAGTTTCGAAGAAGTACTTCATATCCAGGAAAGGGAACTTTTCCCCAACCGCCTACCTTTGAAATCACTAATATGGACGAAGTTCGAGATTTGCTGCCATTTCAGGTAATAAGTGGCTTATCGCTTGAGTTTACACCAAATTTATTTTCATTGTTTTTTGTGTTAAGTTAAATTTTTTGGTTTTGTTATCTATGCTTGCAGCTCATTACCTGCCTTTCCTACTCCTACATACCTGATAATTTATTTTGTAACCTTGTGATAACCTGTGGTTTTTATTATTTAATAAATATAACAATTTTTTGTGTTTGTTTTGTTTTTATACCCTTACCTTGTGTTTAGTTTATGTTTGTTTTTTTGTCATTAACTGTATGCACTTCCACTTAATATACAGGGTGTCCCAGGGAAAACAGTCCACCCCGATTTATTAGATTTGGGATGAGATCCTGGAAAAACGGTCGGATACGTCGATTTTTGATTTGAGGGAGAACTATTTTTCAGTTTTTTTCATCCCCGTAGCTCTTATAACCCCCTAGCTGGGGGAGGGGGGAATAACCCCCCGAATTTGAATAGTAGATAGAGGTCGTGTCACCCCTCTTTTTAAAGGTCTCATCGAGTCCTTTACGGCCCTAGAATTTCGTCTTATTATTTTCATCCGTAACGAAATGACAAGTTGTCAAAATCTTGGAAATAGAATATTGTTTTAGTGGGAGTAAAAGCGATACTTACCTCCCTTAATAAAAATACTTTAAATTGAAGTTTTTTATTATTATTATTATTGAGGTGTACACGAGAATTGTAAATTGTAAGTATTTTTATTGAGGGAGGTAAGTACCGAGTTTACTCCTACTAAAGCCATAAACCCTTTTCACGTGGCTCCGGTTTAACAAACCGCAACATACCGCTCAAATTCGAGTGGTAGGTATCCATCACGTCACTTTGTAACCGGGTTAGAAAACGGTATGTCATTTCTCTAACCGTTTTGTAACCCGGTTAGTTAAACCGGAGCCACGTGAAAAGAACTGTTGTCTATTTCCAAGATTTTGACAAGCTGTCATTTCGTTACGGATGAAAATAATAAGACGAAATTTTAGGGCCATAAAGAACTCGATGAGACCTTTAGAAAGAGGTATGACACGACCCCTATCCCTGATTCAAATTTGGAGGGTTGTTCTCCCCCTAGCTAGGGGGATGAAAAAAACTGAAAAATATTTTATTGTTTTATTACATATTATATATATATACATACATATGTAGGTATATTATATACAGGGTCGAATTTTTAAATGGAATAAATTCAGTATCAGAAAGCCTGTTTATTTTCTGGAAAAATAAAAAAAAACGGGTCCCTTTATTTTTAGTTTGGCACATTTTTTTGGCCTTTCCATATAATTCACCCCTCTCTTAAGGGTAGGAACCACCCCCAACTTTTTTTTTTCAAATGTGAAGATATGTATTGCGATAGCTCGTTGGAAAGGGCATAAAAAAAAAGAAAATGACCCATTATTTACTTTTGCATTTCGGTGATCTAGAAAGCGAGAAAAAAATTAAAAACATATTTTTCCACACCAATTTTTACAGTTAAAATTGTTGAATATCTTCAGCATTTCTTTTGGGTAGAACCCTAATGCGAAACAAGCCCCATTTGTCACGTTATGTAATTATTTTTGACGTTAACACACTATTTGATGCCTGATACTCGGATTCTCAATCCTAAAATAGTGAGTTAATGCCAAAAATAATTACATAAGTAGATCACCGAAATGCAAAAGTAAATAATGGGTCATATGCCTTTTTTTATGCCCATTCCAACGAGCTATCACAATACATATCTTTACATTTGAAAAAAAAAGTTGGGGTGGTTTCTACCCTTAAGAGAGGGGAAAATTCTATGAAAAGGCCGAAAAAATGTGCCAAACTAAAAATAAAAGGACCCGTTTTTTTTTTTTTTTTTTTTCAGAAAATAAACAGGCCTTCTGATACTGAATATATTCCATTTAAAAATTCCACCCTGTATAAGCAGAGGGAAAGGTAATCTTGACCGGCCAATTGAATAAATAGTTTTCATTCTGATTTCTTGGGGTAGCGGTCTGGCAGCGATTGAAACTGTTTTTTTACAAACGCCGAACTTTCGGAAAATTTATTTCCTTTTTCAAGGCTAGAATACAGAGCATGATGTTATAAAATTTATAAATAATCATTGGAATATTACTAACTTACATGTAAAGTGAGTTCCAAGTTGGCAAATCCTTGGAAAAACATAGAAACAAAGCTTCCTTCCAAAAATTAACAATAAAATTTATAGAGTAAATATGGTGTAAGAAATTAGTAATATACTTTGACAAACTGAAAGATAGACTTATGCTTATGGCTTGTTTTTTATTTGTTTAGGTAGCTTTAAAGATTTTAATAGGTATAAATATTAATTTATTGGTAAATTTATAAAATATGATTATGGTAATTAATTTAAGATATTTGTTTCATTGATTGGATTTTTTATGAAATGAAGAATATATGAACACCTATATTATATATACATATAAATCTTCGATATCTTTTCTTTTGTTTAAAGAATTATCTTCAAGATAAATTTCAATCATCTCAAGAAATTTTCTTCTGTTATTATTAGGTTCTTTATCTAGTAATTTTACATTGATGAAATCTATTTTATGATTCGTGTATATGTTCTTTCACTAGCAAGACATGTAATACTATAAACTACTCCTAAGGCTTTCAATGCCTCGTCCCTATCCTTGGAAGTCACTTTGCACGTAAGTTTAGTAATATTCCAAGGATTATTTAAAAATTTTATAACATCATGCTCTGTATTGTAGCCTTGAAAAAGGAAATCCATTTTCCGAAAGCTCGGCGTTTGTAAAAAAAGAGTTTCAATCACTGCCAGACCGCTACCCCAAGAAATCTGAATTAAAACTATATACATAATGTACAGTGCGTGGTTATTTAAAGTGTGCAACATATGGGGATTTTTTTTAGTAATAGCACAACCCAAATACAAACAACGACATTTAAAATTTTAAATAATTTTTCATGTCAATTATTGTCAAATTTTACGTAGAAAAGAATCCAAAATTATCTTTATAACTTATATGTAATTTGTTGAGATCACCGCGATTTCCTTCTCATTTTATGTAATATAATATACAGGTATAGGACGTGTAATTTATTTTGAATATGAGATAGCTCGAAACTAAACATTGTAGATAACGATAAATGGGGTAATGTGTAATCAAACGCGACAGGTAGGTATATGATAAAAATAATCGGAATTTGTTTTTAAAAAAAATGGGACTACAAACTTCAGTTATACTGCTAGATATTTATAGAGCTGCCCATTTTTTTTTTCTACGTAACGTTATTCAGCAGTAAATAAGCTGCTCTTCAGGAAGATAAGTTTATTTACGTCACAGAGAGACACCAGTCTCCATCCTGCATCTTCATATTTGTGAAATCTAACTATTATGCCTATCAAATCTATGAAGAGCAACTGCTAGACTCACAGGTGAGGTAAACGCCAAGCTAGAAATAGAAATGGCCATGAGTCCGATCGTATGAGCTATAAATAAATAAATATAGATCTGGCATTCTCAATCAGTGGCGTACAAAATTAGTAAGCATTTACAGATACATGTCGTACAATTATTCCCCAATTTTATTAGTTCCTATCTGACAACTGACACCCGGAACAGATGTTATCAATCTGTCCGCGAATTGCTCAAGAATCGAACAATTGATTTTAGAGCTATTTGAGTAGGTACATAGGAAAAATGGGGCCATAGAGATTTATATTAGTTTACACGTGCTTTCATTTTATTTCTTAATTTGAAAATATAAACAGGGTGATTCACGTAGCCCCCTCATTAGCTTGCACTTTTTGGAGAAAATTCTCTTGTTTTTCAATTTCAATTTCACTTGCAATAAAATAAAACAAATAACCATAAAATACTAATAAAATGCTTTATATATTTTGTTTGTTGATAAAACGAAACAAAAAAAAAATTTAATATTTTTATTGGTTTTGGTTGGTGCTTATGCGACATTTTGTTTAAAACTATTTTGCTTTAATCATACCAAAACGGATGTGAAACTATGAAGTGGCATGTGAGTTTTATATATGTTGACAATCAACTAAAATTTAAAGAACACATACTATATCTAAAGAAGAAATAAGCTAGTGGTGCATATGCCTTGAGAGTTGTGGCTAGAGAACTGAACCTTTCTTCAACAATGACAGTCTACTATTCTTTGATAGAGTCCCATTTGAGATACGGAGTTGCATTTTATGGATCCTGCACAAATGACCTAATGGCTAGTGTGTTGAAACTCCAAAAACGCGCATTACGATGTATATGTGGAGTGGGACCTAGGGAGCACTGTACGCCAATATTTAAAACACACAAAATCCTTACAGTAATTGGTCTATATATATTGGAAACATCATCACTAATGTATAAAAAATATTACAATGGATTGAAGCAACAAAGACATACATACAACACGAGACAAATAAACAATATTCCTCTCCCTATTCCTAAGACATCTCTAGCTCAAAACTCCCTCATTTATAATGGCAAAAAAATATTCAACCATTTGCCTGAGGAAATAAAAATACTGGACAATTCAATTGTAAGCATTTTCGAAATGCAGTGAGAGCACTCTTGGTAATTAGACCCTACTACAGCCTGCTGGAATACTTTGAAGATAGACTAAATTAATTAATTGTGATAATGTGTGATAATGTGTTTCTGATTCCTACTATTGTTTTTTAAGTTTTTATTTTTAGGTTTTTTATTATGTTTTTTGTAGATTGAAAATGTTGAAAACTTGACAGGAGCACATTTTTTTTGATTTCTTAGTTTTTTTCTGATTTTTTTAATTTTTTAATTTTGTTAACATGTGTTTGTATTATGTATTTATATTTTATTCTGTTCTAATGTGTTTTAAATTATTGATAACTATATTGAGGCGTTTTCGTGTGATATAAAAACTGTTTAGTACCTATTTAGGAAAAAAAAAAGTACATTTAGGTATTAGCTTTGTCAATAAGTTTCAGTACTTCGAACAATAAAACACAGTTCTATTCTATTCTA